ATATGCATCCATTTCTCTTAGGTTTTCAAATTTAGTAGCATATAGGTTTTTAAAGTATTCTCTTATAATGTTCTGCATCTTTCTGATGTCTGTTGTGATGGTTCCCCTTCCATCTCTGATTTTGTTGATTTGGAGGTGCTCTTTCTTTCTTTTGGTTAACTGGGCTAGCGGTCTGTCAATCTTGTTTATCTTTTCAAAGAACCAGCTCTTTGAATTGTTGATTCTTTGTATTGTTTTCTTTGTTTCAATTTCATTAATTTCTGCCCTGATTTTTGTTGTTTCTTCTTGTCTGCTGGGTTTGGGTTTCATTTGCTGTTGCTTTTCAAGTGTCTTGAGTTGCAATGTTAAGTCATTTATTTGTGTTCTTTCCGATTTTTTGATGTAGGCACTTAGAGCTATAAACTTCCCTCTTAGGACTGCTTTCAGTGTGTCCCAGAGGGTTTGTCATGTTGTATTGTCCTTTTCATTTAGTTCCAGGAATACTTTTATTTCTTTCTTAATTTCTCTTTTGACCATCATCATTCAGGACTGTGTTGTTTAATCTCCATGTGTTCATGTGTTGACTAGGGCTTCTTCAAGTGTTGATTGTAAGCTTTATTGCATTGTGATCTAATAGAATGCATGGAGTTATTGCAATCTTTTTGTATTTGTTGGTTTGTTTTGTGCCCCCAGTATATGGTCGATTTTGGAGAAGTTTCCATGGGGTGCTGAGTAGAAAGTATGTCCTTTGGTGCTTGGGTGGACTACTCAGTAGATGTCTGTTAAGTCCATTTGATATATGGTATTGTTTAATTCAGATGTCTCTCTGTTAACTCTCTGCCCTGTTGACCTATCTAATGGAGACAGTGGGGTATTGAAGTCCCCTACTATTAATGAGTTGGGATTAATCTGGGTTTTAAAGTCCTGTAGTATTATTTTCATGAAGTTGGGTGCATCAGAGTTTGGTGAATATATGTACATGGTTGTAATATCTTCTTGATTTATTGTTCTTTTGATCAGAATGAAGTGGCCCTCTTTATCTCTTCTGATTAGTTTTAGTTTGAAGCCTATTTTGTCAGATATTGGAATTGCAACCCCTGCTTGTTTCTTAGTGTCATTTGCTTGAACTATTGTTTTCCATCCTTTCACCTTAAGGTAGTTCCTGTCCTTGAAGGTTAAATGGGTTTCTTGCAAACAACAAAAAAATGGGTTTTGTTTCTTAATCTATTCAACTAGCTTTTGTCTTTACACTGGTGGTTCAGTCCATTCATATGTAAAGTTATTATTTAAAGATGTGTATTGGTTGCTATCATTTTGATTACTGTGTGAATTGTCTAATTTTGTGTTTCTACAATTATAGCTTCATTTAGTTTCTTTCTGTTGCCCATACTGCATTCTTTGTATTGCTTCGCGTATTCTTTAAAGGTTTTACTATGATGTGCCATGGAGAGTTTCTTTTCTGGTCCTGTCTGTTTTGAGTTCTATATGCTTATTGTATTTGGATGGGCATGTCTTTCTTTAATTTTGGGAAATTTTCTTCTATAGTTCTGTTGAAGATCTGGTCCATGCCATTGTCTTGGGATTCTTCTCCTTCCTGTATGCCTATGATTTACAAATTTGGTCTTTTTATGATATCACTCAATTCCTGCATATTCCATTCTTGTGATTTCTTAATTTTTCATAGTCT